CTTCTAAGTTTGAGGCTTTAAAAAAACACCACAGAGGAAACGCAGGGCTTCCTCTCCAATGGGTCTTTCTTGCTCCGCTCTTACCTTTCCACCTTTCCCACCTGTCACAGTTCCAAGGGACCAAGAGGTTGGATCCTTCTGAGCACTTTTCTAATGGGTTAAATTAGACCTGGATGGGTAGTACCTGACCTGACTTATCTATAAGGCGTAGAGCTTGGCCTTGAGAGCTGCATGCTTGCCACTAACCTCCTCGCCTCCCACTGGGTCCCCCTGCCTTTGCTTTCAGCCCACTTGGGTCTACCTTCCCCTTTTACAGCCTGAGTGAGTCTGGCAGCCTGGATTTAAAGCTCTCCAACTGGGACCCACTGCTTAGTGGAGTCTTTTCATTTGGTTTGCACTCTGGCAGTATTCAAGTAAAGAAAACATCAGGTAATGGTAAATGCTACGATGGAATAAAACACGATAGAGGGAGAAAATGACTGGGGCTACTCTTATAGGGTCAGGAAGAGCCTCTCTAAGAAAGGTGACATTTTCACAGAGATCCGAGTGAAAAGAAGTGGCCAGCCTTGTGCAGATCTGAGAGAAGTCCAGGCAGAAGGAATAGCAAAAACACCGAAAGCAGCTCCTTGGAGAACATTGGAGCCTCGGGGAAGGAAGAAGGACTGGGGTCTGTCAGGCAGTGGTGGAGCCTTGAAGTCTATGTGATCTTCTATCATCATGATGGTAGAGTTTGAAATGGGGGTGGGGGAGGTGGGGGTGGTTATACTCTGGTGTACAGTTTTGAAACATCTCCTTGGCTGCTATGCAGAGAATGAATTACGTATGTGTGGGCAGAGGGAGTGGAAGCAATGATCTCAGTGACCAGCCTGTCACAGCAGTCCAGGAAAACGATGCTTCTGGCTTAGGCTTAGAGAGTCTCAGTACAGTGGGGACAATGGATGGATCTGGGGTGTGGTTTGGAGGTAGAGTTGACAGACTTTGCTGATGAGTCGGAGGTGAGGGAGAGGACTGTGCGAAGATGGAGGGTTTTTTGGCTTGAGCAACTGGGGAGATGGCAGTGCCATCTGTTAAGGCCAGGAAGATTCGAGAAAGAGCGGAGGGGGGGACTCCCCCCTCTGTAGAGGGGGGACACAAAGAGTCGTGTCCTGATGTGGCCATGGGAGCTGTGGGATGGCTATCAGAAACCAAAGTGGAGGTGTTAGGCAGGCAATTAGATGTGCTAGCCTAGAGTTTATGTCAGGAATTCCACGTTAGATTGGAACTAGAATGTAAACGTAAAAAGTAAAATGAAAAATTGCTGAAAGAAAACTAATATGGCTATTGTTATAATCTTAGAGTATGATATAAATACGGTTTCAAATCATAAAAGACTAACAGATTTGACTATATACAATTTTTTGAGGTATAATTGACATATAACATTAAATTAGTTTCAGGTGTACAGCATAATGATTTGATATTTGTACACATTGCAAAATCACCATCACAGTAAATCTAGTTAACATTCGTCACCTTACATAATCACAGAATTTTTTTTCTTGTGATGAGAACCTTAAGATCTACTCTCTCAGCGACTTTCAAATATGCAATGTAGTATTATTAACCATATTCACCATGCTGTACATCCCCATGATTTATTTATTTTATTTTATTTATTTATTTTTTAAAAATGTATGTATTTATTTTTATTTATTTTTTGGCTGTGTTGGGTCTTCGTTGCTGTGCACAGGCTTTCTCTAGTTGTGGCGAGCAGGGGCTACTCTTTGATGCGGTGCGTGGGCTTCTCATTGTGGTGGCTTCTCTTGTTGCGGCGCATGGGCTCTAGGTTTGCGGGCTTCAGTAGTTGTGGCTCACAGGCTCTAGAGCGCAGGCTCAGTAGTTGTGGTGCACGGGCTTAGTTGCTCTGCGCATGTGGGACCTTCCCGGACCAGGGCTCGAACCCATGTCCCCTGCATTGGCTGGCGGATTCTTAACCACTGTGCCACCAGTGAAGTCCCGATTTATTTATTTTATAACTGGGGGTTTGTACCTTTTGACCTCCTTCACCCATTTCAGCCTCCCACCAGCCCCCACCCCTGGCAAACACCAGTCTGTTCTCTGTACATGTGAGCTTGTTTTTTGTTGTTGTTGTTAAGTGATATATGGTATTTATCTTTCTCTGACTTATTTCACTTACCATAGTGCCCTCAAGGTCCATCCATGTCACAAATGGCAAGATTTCATTCTTTTATATAGCTGAATAATATTCCATTGTATAATATATACCCTATCTATTCATCCATTGGTGGACATTTAGGTTGCTTCCATATCCTGGCTTTTGTAAATAATGCTGCAATGAACATGGGGGTGCCTATATCTCTTCAAGTTAGTTATTTTGTTTTCTTTGGATAAATATCCAGAAATGGAATTACTGAATTATATGATAGTTTATTTTTAATTTATTGAGGAACCTTCATACTGTTTTCCATAGTGGCTGTACCAATTTACATTCCCACAGTGCACAGCATTCCCTTTTCTCCACATTCTCACCAGCACTTGTTATTTCTGCCTTTCAGCCATTCTGACAGGTGTGAGGTGATATCTCATTATGGTTTTGATTTGCATTTCCCTGATGATTAGTGATGTTGAGCCCCTTTTCATGTACCTGTTGGCCATCTGTGTGGCTTCTTTGGAAAAATGTGTATTCAGATTCTTTGCCCTTTTTTAATTGGATTGTTTGGGGGGTTTTGGTATTGAGTTGTATGCATTCTTTATGTATTTTGGATATTAACTGCTTATCAGACACATGATTTGCAAATATATTCTCTCATCTGGTAGATTTTCTTTTTATTTTATTGATGGTTTCCTTTGTTATGCAGAAGCTTTTTAGTTTGATGTGGTTCCACTGGTTTATTTTTACTTTTTTGCCTTTGCTTTTGGTGTTAGATCCAAAAAATCATCACCAAGACCCATGTCAAGGAGCTTACCACCTAGGTTTTCCTCTAGAAGTTTTGTGGTTTCAGGGCTTACATTGTAGTCTTTAATCCATTTTGAGTTGATTTTTGTGTATGGTGTAAGATAGTGGTCTGGTTTCATTCTTTTGCATGTGGCTGTCCAATTTTCCCAACACCATTTATTGAAGAGACTGTTCTTTCCCCAGTGTATATTCTTGGCTCCTTTGTTGTAAATTAATTGATCATATATGTGTGTTTTTGTTTCTAGGCTGTCTGTTCTGTTCCATTGATCTATGTGTCTGTTTTTATGCCAATACCACACTGTTTTGATTATTATAGCTTTGTAATATAGTTTGAAATCTAGGCACATGATGGCTCCAGCTTTGTTTTTTCTCAAGTTTGCTTTGGCTATTCAGGTTCTTTTGTGGTTCCATACAAATTTTAGGATTGTTTGTTCTAGTTCTATGAAAAAAGCCATTGGAATTTTGATAGGGATGGCATTGAATCTGTGGATTGCTTTGGATAGTATGGACATTTAAACAATATTAATTCTTTCGATCTCTGAGCATGGGGATTTATTTGTGTCTTCTTCAGTTTCTTTCATTAACGTCTTAGAGTTTTCAGTGTACAGGTCTTTTACTATCTTGTTAAATTTATTCCTAGGTATTTTTTATGTAATTGTAAGTGGGATTATTATTTTAATTTCTCTTTCTGGTAGTTCATTATTAGTATATAGAAATGCAACAGATTTTTGTATATTGATTTTATAGCCTGCAAATTTACTGAATTCATTTATTGGTTCCAACAGTGTTTTGGCGGGGTCTTTGGGGTTTTTTATATGCAGTATCATGTCTTCTGGAAATAGTGACAGTTTTACTTTTTCCTGTTTAATTTGGATGCCTTTTACTTCTTTTTCTTGTCTGACTGCTCTGGCTAGAACTTCCAATACTATGTTGAATAAAAGTGGCAAGAGTGGCATCCTTGTGTTCCTGATCTTAGAGGAAATGCTTTCTGTTTTCACCACTGAGTATGATGTTAACTGTGGGTTTGTCATATATGGCCTTTGTTACATTGAGGTATGTTCCCTCTATACTCACTTTGTTGAGAGTTTTTTTTTTTCTCATAAATGAATGCTGAATTTTGTCAAATACTTTTTCTACATCTATTGAGATGATCATATGATTTTTATTATTTGTTCTGTTAATGTGGTATATCACGTTGATTGATGTCTGAATGTTGAACCATCATTGCATCCCTGGAATAAATCCCACTTGATCATAATGTATGATCCTTTTAATGTATTGTTGAATTCTGTTTGCTAATATTTTGCTGAGGATTTTTTCATCTCTGTTCATCGTGGATATTGGCTTGAAAATTTCTTTTTTTCTGTGACATCTTTGTCTGGTTTTGATATCTGAGTGATGTCGGCCTTGTGAAACGAATGCGGAAGTGTTCCCTCCTCTTCTGTTTTTTTTGGAAGAGTTCGAAAAGGATTGGTATTAATTCTTCTTTGAATGTTTGATAAAATTCACCAGTGAAGCCATCTGATTCTGGATTTTTGTTTGTTGGGAGGCTTTTGATTACTGATTCAATCTCCTTACTAGTAACTGATCTATCCATGTTTTCTATTTCTTCATGATTTAGTCTTGGTAGGCTGTATGTTTATAGGAATTTATTCATTTCTTCTAGGTTGTCTAATTTGTTGGGATATAATTGTTCATAGTAGTCTCTTATGATCTTTTGTATTTCTGTGGTATCAGTTGTGAGGTCTCCTCTTTCATTTTTTTATTTTATTTATTTGAGTCCTCTCTCTCTCTCTCTCTCTCTTTTTTTTTTTTGGTTAGTCTACTTAAAGGTTTGTCAATTTTATTTATCTTTTCAAAGAACCACCTCTTTCATTGATCTTTTCTGTTGTTTTTTTCAGTCTCTATTTCATTTATTTCCACTTTGATCTTTGTTATTTCCTTCCTTCTACTAACTTTGGGCTTGGTTTGTTCTTCCTTTTTTAGTTGCTTGACATGTAAATTTAGGTTGCTTATTTGAGATTTTTCTTGTGTCTTAATATAGGTGTTCATCATTATGAACTTCCCTCTCAAACCTGCTTTTGCTGCATCCCCCAAATTTTGGTAAGCTGTATTTCCATTTTCATTTGTCTCAAGGTATTGCTTAATTTCTCTTGATTTCTTGTTGACCTGTTGGTTGTATAGTAGCATATTGTTTAAGCTCCACATATATGTGAATTTCCGGTTTTATTCTTATAATTGATTTCTAGTATCATACCATTGTGGTCGGAAAAGATGCTTGATATGATTTTAATCTTCTTAAATTTATTAAGACTTGTATTGTGGCCTAACATATGATCTGTCTTGGAGAATGTTACATGTGCCCTCGAGAAGAATATGTATTCTGCTGCTTTTGGATGGAAAGTTCTGTATCTATCTGTTAAGTTCATTGTATCAAATGTGTTGTTTAAGGCTGACGTTTCCTTATTGATTTTATGTCTGGATGATCTATCTACTGATCAAAATGGAGTATTAAAGTCCCCTATTATTGTTGTATTGCTGTCTATTTCTCCTTTTAGATCTGTCAATATTTGCTTTATATATCTAAGTGATCCTATAGTTGGATGCATAAATAGTTTACACATGTTATACCTTCTTGTTGGATTGACCCCTTAAGATTACGTATGTCCTTCTTTGTCTCTTTTTAGTCTTTATTTTAATGTCTATTTTGTCTAAGTATAGCCATCCCAGCTTTCTTCTGGTTTCCATTTGCATGGAATATTTTTTCCCACCCCTTACCTTTCAGTCTGTATGTGTTCTTACATCTGAAGTGAGTCTCTGTAGGCAGCATATAGATGGGTCTTATTTTTTTTAACCCATTCAGCCACTCTGGAGAATCTAGTCCACTTGCATTTAAAGTAATTATTGATAGATACATACTTATTGTCATTTTGTTCATTGTTTTCTGGTTGTTTTGTAGCTCCTCTCTGTTCCTTTCTTCTTCTCTTGCACTATTCCTTTGTGGTTTGATGACTTTCTTTAGTGGTATGCTTAGATTCCTGTCTCTTTCTCTTTTGCATATCAGCTATAAGTTTTTGCTTTGTGGTTACCATGAGGCTTACATAGAACAACTTATATTTGTAACAGAGTCTATTTTAAATTATTAACAGCTTCAGTTTGAATGCATTCTAAAACTCTATATTTTTACTCCCCTACTCCCATTTTTATGTTTTTGATGTCACATTTTATATCTTTTTATCTAATGTACCCCTTAACTAATTATTTTTGTCATAATTATTTTACTACTTTTGTCTTTTAACCTTCATACTAGCTTTATAAGTGATTCATCTACCACCTTTACAACATTAGATTTTTCTAAATTTTACTATATACTTACCTTTTCCAGTGAGGTTTATACTTTTCATATGTTTTCCTGTTACTAATGAGTACCCTTTCTTTTCAGCTTAAAGAGTCCCTTTATCATTTCTTGTAAGGCTGGTCTAGTGGTGAAGAACCCCATTAGCTTTTGCTTGCCTGGAACTCTCTTTTTCAATACTGAATGACAACTTTGCTGGGTAGAATATTCATGGTTGGAAGTTTTTTTTTTTCTTTAGCACTTTGAATATATCATGCCACGTCCTTCTGGCTTATAAAGTTTCTGCTGAGAAATCTGCTGATAGTCTTACGAGGTTTCTTTGTACATAAGAAGTTGTTTTTCTTGTGCTGCTTTTAAGATTCTCTCCTTGTCTTTAACTTTTGATATTTTAATTATGTGCCTTGGTGGGGGTCTCTTTGGGTTCATCTTATTTGGAACTCTCTGCATTTCCTTCCCCAGATTAGGCAAGTTTTCAGTCATTATTTCTTCAAATAAGTTTTCTGCTCCTTTCTCTCTTCTCCTTCTGGGAATCCAATAATACAAATGTTGGTCTGCTTGATGTTGTCCCATAAGTCCCTTAAGATATCTTAAATTTTTTTTCCTTTTTTTCCTTTTTGCTGCTCTAATTGGGTGAGTTCCACTGCCCTTTCTTTCTTCTGCTTCATCTAATATGCTGTTGAATGCATCTAGTATATTCTTCAGTGCAGTCAGTGCATTCTTCAGTTCTGTGATTTCTATTTGGTGCTTTCTTGTACTTTTCTATTTCTTTGTTTAAGTTCTTGCTGTGGTCGTACATTCTTCTCATGAATTTGCTGAGCATTTTTATAACCATCACTTTGAACTCTTTACCAGGTAGATCACTTATCTCCATTTCATTAAGGACTTTTTCTGAAGTTTTATCTTGTTCTTTCATTTGGAACTTATTCCTCTATCTCTTCATTTTCCTTGACTCTCTGCATTGGCTTTCCATGCATTAGATGAAAGAGCCACCTCTCCCAGTCTTTAAGGAGTGGTCTCATGCAGGAAGTGAACCTTATCCTTCAACATTGTTCTAGCTGTTGGTTGTGTCCCCTTTGTGATTGTCCAAGCAGCCTATTTTATTCTTAGTGGCTCCCAATAATTAAGGATATGCCAAGACCTGTCAGTGTCCCAAAGGGCATGATCTCAGTCAGCACCTAGATTCAGGCTGATTGGAAGTCAGACCCTCAGAAAACAGCTTTTGAAGTATGTAAATATACATACAGTCCTGTGAGGCTTCAAGCATAAGCCCTGCTGGCCACCATAGCCAAGGAAATTAGAGATGTTTCCTGACAACAGCTGCAAAAAATCAGGGCACCAGAGGAGGGTACAAGCTCCTCTCCAGGAGATACCAGTGAACTGGAGTGAGGCAGAGGGAGAGTGCAAAGATGGCGACTGCCAACCTCTGTCCCCAGAGAGTTCTCCAGCAGGTTCCTCCCTAGATGTGTGTTAGGTTAGATGCCTGGCACTGAGGCCGATGCTTTAAGACAAGCAAATAAGCCCCTTTCACATAAAGTCTAGGCACTGGTTCCTGGGACAGGTGAGTCTGAGTGCAAGAGCCCTTTAAGAGCCTTTCTCATTTCACTATAGCTTGTGGGTCTTGTGGACGTGAGCCCTGCTGATTTTCAAGCTAGCTGATTTGGGGACTCATCCCTTAGGTTCAGGTCTTAAAAGTTGGAGTGCCTGATGTGGGGTTCAAACCCTTTGCTGCTCAGGGAGAAGCTCTGGGATTTGAGTTCCGTCTCAGTTGTGGGTCACCATGCCAGGGTAGGGTTTATGGCAAGATGTATCTCAACCTCTCCTACCCACTTTGATGTGAGGTGTTTTTTTTTTTCTTCATTTGCCTGACATGTAGGAGTTGCTCCACTAGTTTTTAGGTTTTTTGGAGGAAATTGTTCTGTATGTTGCTGTAGATTTGGTGTGTCCATGAGTTCAGGATCTTCCTCTGTTGCCATCTTGAACCAGAACCGAGAAGATTTCCTCTTGATTTTATAAGAGGGGTTAGCTGGAGGAAGGAGTCAAAGACATCCTTTAAGGTTTCAAGCCCAAGAAGCTAAGAAAAGAATGGTGCCGATCAGAGAAATAACAGAAAATCAAGGCATGGGAAAAGATGTTGACCTAAGAAAAGGGATGAGTTTGGTTTTAAACAGGTTGAATTTCAGGTGATGACATTTATCCAGATGACTTAGGGATCTCAGGCAAGTGGAAGTGTGAATCTGAAGCTTGGCCATGTCAGAGCCAGAGGCATAGACTTGGGACTGGTCCATAAAGAGGCCATCAAAGCAGACGAAACTGCTCAGGGGACCACAGAGAAGAGTTAGACGAGAACAAGGCTGATTCTTGAGCATTGTCCACACTTCCGAGCCTGAAGGAGGCAAGTAAATCACTAAAGAAGAGATAAATATTCAAAAAAGTAGAAGGAGAAACAGGATAGGGTAGCATCACTCATGAGAGGACAGTTTCAATGTGAGAATAAATAACCAAAGTTGACATGTGGCTAGAATAAGCATAATGCTGAGGTCAGAAAGTACTTTCAGGAATCACATAGTTCAAGTCCTCATTTCGTAGGTGAGGCCATTGGGTCTTAAAGAAGTTAATTATCCTACCCAAGATCACAGATACTGAGTTACACAATGTAACTTTAGCTCTGCCTCCTGTTCTTTCAGCTAAACCAAACCCTGCCATCTTGCCATTTTTCTAATTGTCATATTATGTAATCTACAATACACCATATTTAAGCTCTTAGAGGCAGGGACCATATTTTTTTAAAAAAACTAGACGAGAAAGACTCAAGGCAACCTATTCTTGTCCATAAAAAATGGTTCATGATAGGGCTTCCCTGGTGGCGCAGTGGTTGAGAGTCCGCCTGCCGATGCAGGGGGCACGGGTTCGTGCCCCGGTCTGGGAGGATCCCACCTGCCGCAGAGCGGCTGGGTCCGTGAGCCGTGGCCACTGAGCCTGCGCGTCCGGAGCCTGTGCTCCACAACGGGAGAGGCCACAACAGTGAGAGGCCCGCGTACCACAAAAAAAAAAAGAAAAAAAAAAGATTCATGATGTTATTGTATCAAGTTCAGGATTATCCTATGTCATTAACTGGAGAAGTCTAGCAATGAGATAAACAGATTAATTGGAAAAATCTAGTAATAAACAGAAAAAGAAAATACATTTTATTTTACAAATATGAATTTATTTTCCTCATTACAAACTAGCAGACATTTATTTTAATAAAAGAAAGAAAATGTAGAAAAGTACATATAAGAAAATAAATATCACTGATAATCCTACCACCCACAGACAATTACTCTTAGTATTTTAGTGATTTTTTTTCTCATGTTGTGTCTATTGGTTTATACAGTCGAGGTCATACACAAGAGACAATTTGTTTTCTGTTTTTTCTGTTGATGTTATATTACGAACATTTATTGTGGCTGACACTCATTTTTTGTGATTTCTTTATTTTCCTTCCAGTTTTATTGAGATATAATTGACATATAGCACTGTGTAAGTTTAAGGTGTGCATGATTGACTTACATACAACATAAAATGATCATCACATAAGTTTAGTGAACATCCATCATCTCATATAGATACAAAATTAAAGAAATAGAAAAAAACTTTTTCTTGTGATGAGAACTCTTAAGATTCCTCTCTTAACAGCTTTCATATATAACACAAAACAGCGTTAGTTAAATTTATCATGTTGTACGGTACATCCCTAGTACTTATTGTGTCTGACACTCTTAAATGCCTCCTTGTACCTACTCTTACCTTCTTCATTACTAACAGAACCAGGAATTTGTTTAAGGAGAAATTTAGTTTCTTTTCAACGAAAATATTCACA